CCAGAGCAGACAGCACGGCATGGACGGCACAAGAATCATTCTTGGTTATTCCAGGACCCTGGCAGAAAGAGACTTGCTTTTGGCGCGATATTCTTGCAGACGAGTGTTTCTCCGTTGCCCAAGAGGATTTCTTGACGGAGGACGATGTCATCAGGCACTGGGAGCATGTTGAAAGAGGGGATCGAAAGGAGATTGCATCCTTTGTATCTCATGATGTGTTTACTCTGGATCTGGCAAGTTGCAGTACCAACACCATTGACGCAGTATGGGTACGCAAGTGGAAAACGAGACACCCACCAGAAGTCAAGTCAAGCATGTGTGGACGCGGCTTCATGGACGCACAGCGTAAAGGAGTACATCGACACTCATCAACGGCATCAGCACTGTCACACCGGTTGGCCATCACTCTTGGAGCTCAGTACTACTGGGACTGTGAAGCTTTCGACGTTTCAACGGCCTTCCTACAGAGCTTACGCTTCCAGGAGATTGAGGCAAGGGCCAAGGAGCTCGGACACGAGTGCAAGAAAGTCAGAACAGTATGGCTACAACCTCCAGCCAATGTATGGCGACATCTTCGCATGATTGAATTTACAACGGTCGAGGACGTGGAACGATCTTTGTTTGTTTTATTGCTGAACAAAGCCATGTATATATTGGTAGATGGACCTATTCTGTTTCAGATGGCATGTCTGCATTTCCTCTTAAGTGAGCTCAAGTTCTACAAGTCGCTACACGATGATAACTTCCTGTATAAGTTTGACGAGACGGGATCAACTTTGGCTTGTATCATTGTGTTGCATGTGGGTGACTTATTAGTTTTGGCTATGAAGAATTTGATCTCATGGGCGCAGCAACAGGTTGAACGCAAGTTTGGCAAACTGAAACAACATGCTCTACCCTTCACATGGTGTGGGATCGTTCATGAAAAGATCAAGGCAGGACACTTCTTCCTACATCAGAAGCCTTACCTGATTCGACTCAAGCCGATCACCATGGTCGAGAAGACCGCTGACACAGCCGAGCTCTGCGACAAGGATCACAGCTCTTTTCGATCGCTGCTTATGAGTATGCTATGGCTGACCAAGACGAGAGGCGATGTTCGTCAAGAGATCGTTCAGCTTCAGACAGAGACGATCCATCCGAAGGGTATACATGTCAAACAGGTGAATGGAGTACTAAAGCAGGCACTGGCCAATCAAGAGATGAATGGACTACACTTCAGACATGTTGGACCACAGCGACGACTGGTTCAAGTGACGGACAGCGGCCATATTACTAGCAATACCTGCTACCCACAAGAAGCACGTACTGTCCTGTTGGCACAGGATCATGTGGTACTACGCCACGGAAGCCAAGAACAGTACTACGGACAAGAAGCACGAGTTTTCGGTGGAGTGGCTTGTCCAGTGATTCTCAGTTCAAAGAAGTCTCAGAGAGTTGCATGGTCCACCTTTCATTCGGAGACAAACCCTGCGGTTTCTTGTGCAGCAATGGCAAACATTATAGCATCACGGATTACAGGGTTGGAATATCTTCCAGTATTCGGCAAGACACCTACTGCACGCGATCTATTGGAAGTTCACTTACGTTTTCAGCATTTAATTCCAGTGGATGTGTGTACTGACGCAATGCATCTTTTCGAGCTCATATGTTTCTCCAAGTCATTACCGAATGACAAGCATCATCGAGTGGGCATTCTGGCACTACGTGAAGATCGATTGACGCGGAGGATCAGGAACATCATTCACTTACCGACAACGGTGATGTTGGCAGACCAACTTACTAAGAAGATGATATCGCCGATCTACATGCACTTCTTGACTACTGGTGAGTGGAAGATTGAGCTCAAAGAAAGAAGCAGCATATTGCGACGTGGAGTGCGACGCCCGGCTACCTATACCGAGCAAGATCTGAAAGATAACAACTACGATGTAAGCTCTAACGACGTTGGCGAATCGTTGGAGCTGGACGATGACAAGATTTCTCTTTTGGATTTCCTATCATGTTACGAGAAGGAGAACGAGAACGATGATTGGAATCAAGATGGATATCATGCCCAAAGGTTTGTGACACCACGCTCCAGCTACATAAGTTAGATTGAAGAGGGTGAAAGCGGACTCTGAATATCCAGAACATCGACATGTGAGAGATACAGGGTTGTAGTAGCGATGTGAAATGATGATAGAGAGTAGTAGAGCAAGGGATGCGTGCTGACAACATCCTGGCTCAAGGACTGAAAAGTCGAGTGGGGGAGGGGGAGGGGGAGGAGGAGGAGGAGGAGGAGGAGGAGGAGGAGGAGGAGGAGGAGGAGGAGGAGGGGGAGGGAAGGAGGAGGAGGAAGGGGGAGGAGGAGGAGGAGGAGGAGGAGGGAGGAGGAGGAGGAGGAGGAGGAGGAGGAGGAGGAGGAGGAGGACGAGGACGGAGGAGGAGGAGGGGAGGAGGAGGAGGAGAGGAGGAGGAGGAGGAGGAGGAGGAGGAGGAGGAGAGGAGGAGGAGGGGGAGGAGGAGGAGGAGGAGGAGGAGGAGGAGGAGGAGGAGGAGGAGGAGGAGGAGGCGGAGGAGGAGGAGGAGTGGCTGGGCGTGCCGCGCTGCCTGCTCTGGCCCACCGCGCTTCGTCGCGACGCGCCAGTCCAAGAGCCAAAATTCGGTGACAATGTTGCCCCTCTGGGACAGGAGGGACAAATCCTCGGAGGTGCGGCGGCCCTCTGGTTTCCTCCTGTTCCTGCTCCTACGCTTCCTCGTGTCCTCTCCTTCTCCTACTTCTCTTACTTATCCTGGTTCTGCAGGCGACAGTGTCCCGCACTTGCCCCAGCATCCCAACCAGCGGAGCTGAGCGACAAACAATCCGCTTTGCAAGGCGTAGCGTGTCGCCAGGGCCGCCGCCGCGACACGATGAGCAACAATTCCCTACCGTATTGGGGCCCCCTTGGGACCGATGTGGTGCTTTGATTCGCCCTCTTGCACTGTATCTGCTCACATGCAGCGATGGTGGCAACTCAATTTGTCGCCGCGGGGACCCAGGATTCGCCGTCTGTTCGGCCGTGCTCCAAGGAGACTCGCTGCCGGTTTTATAGTTTGGTTGCGCGCGTCACTCGGCTTCGCCATGGCCCGCCTGGCCCCCCTTGAGACCTCAGCCCCCGCGGTTGCGAGGAGGGTTTTGTTTTCGGCCCTCTGGGGCGGCCCCCTCTTAGGAGCAGTGACTGGGCAATTTGGTTGGTCGCATTCGATTGAGGGGGGGGCATTCGAGATGCTCCATGCAACGGGTAGTTTCATGATTGATCCTGAGGCGTTTATTTTTGGTCTTATTTCCCCATCCCTAGTTCGTACTCCACTCTGGGCGGAGATTCTTTAGCGCAGTGCGCTGGACATCCCATGCCATGTGCGACTCGCGGCGACCAGACACGGGGGATCAGCTGTCCGTGTTTCGGCCGCGTCAGGACAGCTTTGGATGCTGCCACGGCTATGCCCGTATTAGCTAGTTTATATGGCAAAGGTCTCGCGCATTGGCTCGCCTATGGCAGGTTGGCCCTCAGTTGATTCCATGCTTGCCTAGTACATGTGGTCGGGCACCAATGGTGTGTTTGTTGGGGAATAGAGGATGTCTCCGCACCATCGCTTATTTTGCTCATGACTTCATACCATCCTGGAGAATCGCCGTCCCACCCCATCACATCTCTGTCAAATCATGTTATGCGCGCGCACCCGTTTACCCGGTCACACTTTTGAGGGATGCCTTGCCAGCGCGTTTCGAAGTCCACGCGCGCGCGTCGTCGCGCGCCCATGTCAAGCAACTTCCAAGACTTTTTGGCTTCGCAGGGATTTCACAATCGAGGGCCACGAAACCACGTAAGCAACAGCTGTGCCCCAACATTGAAAAGATAGCTTTGCGCGCGCTCTTGCGATACTTTTTTTTCGGTTTGTCCGTATTTCCCTGAACTGGCATCGCGCGGGCCTCTCGCTCGCATATCGACATCATTCGAAAACCCTCGTTCGCTTGGTGGGGGGTGGGGGCGATCACGATCAACATGCTACCTTGCGGTCCGCGCGCGCGGGTCGGCCGCGCGCGCATGTCGAAATTCCTCTAAACTTTCTTCAGCGACACATGGGCATCATCATCGTCATCATCGGCGCTACCAGCATCGGCACCGGCATTGGCTTTGCGGTCGACGCAGTCATCATCACCACCACCATTGCTACTATCATCGTCGTCGCTGCTTTTCGGCGTCATCATGCTACCGCGCCCGCCAGAGCTACTGACCCGCTTTGGAGTGCCCGCGAATCAACGCGGCTTTTGACGCGCTCTCGGACGCTCACACGAGTAACCACCATCGGGGCCTCATCGGTTGTGTCAAGTCAGCTGGCCGCTCTGCGCCCGAGCTTGCGCGTGTCAGCGCGGCCGCAGAGATGCGCCAGTCATTGTCGCACACTCATCGCAACCGCCGCCAAATGGGTTTTGAAACCCAGGTTGTGGGTTGGAGGGTGGGATGATTGCGCGGGGAGTGAATTTGACAATTTCAAATTCTTCGAGGTGGCTTGAGCCACATCGATTGCACCACGTAACTTCCACCACATAGCTTGCGCCACATCGATTGAACCACCCTGTTGCCTGAAATTCATTGTCTGGGGCCCACCCTGGCTAACAAGGTCAGTGCATGAATTCGTAGTGCTTCTAAGGATTTCCACGCGTTCCCGTCTCTACCTTCGTCCGCCCACACGTTTCGGGCCGTGATGCGCTAACTCGGAAGTTTGAGCATATACATTACCAGTGGCGGGTGAGAGTCGGGGACGACGGGGTGGTGTGGTGTATATGTTTTCCCCGTTCTTCTGCAGAAGCAGCGAAACACGCAGATACACCAGGATCCCGTACACACCAGGATCCATGTTCCTGTGCGAAGCTAGTGCGGGGCCGGAACAAGCGTCGGTGTATAGAGGTCGCCTCCATACTACCCCTCCTTTCCCTTGCCCCCTTTTTTCGACGTACCCGATTATTGTGACCGCAGGCCGTGGATCCCGACGTGGTGGACATGATGCTCGCGGAAGAGATGGATGTGTCTCTGACTCAGGTTAGAGAGGGAGAGAGGCTAGGCCTTCTGGAAGGGTTCGGAGTAGATGGGGTCGGAGGATCGCGCCGCATCGCCGATGCATCGGCGATGCTTCGGCAGTGCGGCTCAACGTGGGGCCCAATTTCCTCCCATGCTTCGCTGACGTCGCCAGTGCATGGCCGATGCGTCGGCGATGCATCGCCGATGTATCGGCGATTCGGCGAGATGCTCCGAGCCCATCTACTCGGACCCCATCTGGGATGCCTCTAGAGAGAGGGAGATAAAGAGAGAGAGAGAGAGAACAAACAACTTCCCCACAAAAAAAGTCGCGCACGTCAAAGGTGCAGTGGCAAAATGGTGAGACAGTGCGCTGCTGTGGAACGTTGAACCATGGGCAAACAGGGCAACTGCGCCGTCGAGGGGCGCCGTCTGCTGGCTGTTCTGCAGTGGAACAGTGGAGCGCCGGGCGTAAAGGAGAACGACGACAACGAGGGCGAGGAGGGAGCGAGAGGGGCCGGAGGAGGAGCAGGAGGACGTGCAGCAAAGAGGCTGCTTGCGCGAGCCCTCGCTCGCAGGCTCCCCGCGCGCGGTCGCGCGCAAGCGCCCCCTTCTCCACGGCGTGTGCCGCGCTGGCGGCCGTGCACGACCCCTCCGCGTGAGGCCGCCGCGTCCTCCCGCGAGCCCCTGCGCGCATCGCCTGCCCGAGTGCATCACCTTCCTTGCGGAGGCCGCG